ATTTCATTAATAAAAAACTCAGATTTTTGATTAAAAATTTTATAAAAATTGTTAATTTGAATTTCAGAAAAAATATTATTATCAATATTATAAAATTGTTCACCAATTGCAATATTATTATCAATAATATTTTCTTCTAAAAATTCATCAGAATTTTTTTCTTCAATATAGGCAGATTGATAAATATTTTGTAAAGCTGAAATATTAGTATTCAAAGAAACTAATTCAGGATGAGTTTCATTAAAAATACTATTAAATAAAGAATGTGACATATTGATATATAAAATTTAATATAGATAATTTTTTAAATAATCAAGAAAATATTTGTATAAAAATTTAAAAATCAAAAAGATTAAACCCAAAAGATAAAATTAATTTATTTTATATAACAATTACAGAAATATGAGAGTAGCATTCATTATAATAACTATCCCGGCTTAGATAAATGAATTTACAAAATTGGAATTTCATTCTACTTTAATTTAACCTAAAAAGTACAAATTTATATTCAATAATTTTTATTAATTACAAATCCGGAAGTTCATATAGTATCTAGTCAAAAAAAAATTAAACACCAATCTCAGAGAATTTGAAAAATCTAAGAATTAGTAAATTATATCTAATATAATTCAGAATTTGTAAAAATGCCTACCCGGTCCAAGAGAATTTGAAAATCTAGAACTTATTATGAGTACCCACCTGGTCAAGAGAATTTGAAAAATCCAAAACTTAGTATTAGTATTTATCCAGTCCAAAAGAATTTGAAAAACCCAGAACTTTATAATAGTATTCACCCAGTCTAAGAGAATTTAAACTTAATATTAGTATTCACCTGGTCCAAAAGAATTTGAAAAACCCAGAATTTGTAATAGTATTTACCCAGTCAAAGAGAATTTGAAAAAAAATCCAGAACCCAATATAGTATTCACCCAGCTATGAGAATTTGAAAAATCCAGAACTTAATATTGGTATCCACCCGGCCTAAGAGAATTTGAAAAATTTAGAACTTAGTATTAGTGTTTACTTGGTGCAAGAAATTTTGAAAAATCCAGATTCACCCAGTTAAGAGAACTTGAAAAATCCAGAACTTAATATGAGCATCCA